ATAATTATAATATTTAAATTCTTTTTTTTAACAGGATTAGTCTCGTTTCGCTATATTAAGGTCTATAAGTTTATTATATTATTTATAAATAATAGTTTATTAAAAGTTATTATTCCTATTATAGCGGTATTTTTAATTAAAGTTACGTTAAGGTTATTATTAATATTTATATCCTAAGTTAAGTTCTTATTATTATTTTTTCCTTTCCTTTTTTTTTTTATAAAAGCGGTTATCGATCTTAATTACGAGTTTAATATATTAAAAGAAATCGTTTAGTTCGTCGATCTTAATGAGTTCGTCCTTAACCTTATCCTTTAATCCTCAATAAAATATAAAAATCTTAATATTGTTAATAAAATTAAATTAAATATTAAAGCGTCTAAACTCGGCTAAATAATCTTTTACTAATTTAATCTATCGAAATTATAATATATCGCGCTCAGCTTATTATTTTTTATTTAAATCTTAAAAAAGTAATTTAAAAGCTTTTTTAAACCCATCGAAATTATAATAAATATCTCGTATTTTAATAAAATATTCGTTAAAAGTCTCCTTTTTAAAATACTCTTTTTAAAAAGGTTTAAACTATTTAAAAGCTTATCCTTTAAAAAAGCTAACGGCGTATATAACCTTCTCGATTTCGTTACTAAAATCTCTCTAATAAAAGTTCTAAAAGTTCTTAATTTAGATTAAGAATCCTTTTAAAATTCTAAGGGTCTTGTTAAAAGTAATAAGTACGTTAAATTTAAACTTTTGTCGTCCTTTGTTAAAAAGGGTAGTAACGATATTAATAATACTTTAGAGCGTATTTATTTAATTAGTAAGGTTTAAAACCTTTTAGTATTTGTTTTTAAATCTTTTAAACATAACGTTAAATATTCTTTATATCTTAACAATATCGCGGTCGTTCTTAATTTAAGCTTTTATTAATTAAATAATAATAGTATTAAAGAGGTCTGTTAGTTTTTTATTATATTAAATACTTTAATTAATAATACGGCGTATTTAAATATATATTATCTTATTAAAGACCGCGTCCTTATTAAAATTATACTTAACGTCGGGTATTTTTATATTTTTTTCGGCTTAAGCTAGCTCGGCGTTTAAAGCCTAGGGCTTCTTACCTTTATTAAAAGAAGATTAGATAAATATCGTTCGTACTATTTAATAAGTTTTCGTAAAGTCGACTTACTAAACAAAAGTAATTAAAATATTACGGTTAGTTAATCGTAATAAAGTTTATATTAATAAAAATCGGGGCTACGATATTTATAAATAATAATCGTTATAAAAATAGCTTTTAATAAAATTATTATTTATAAATCGTAAAATAAATAAAGCTTCGGTAATTAATTATAATCTTATCAAATAAGTTCTTAATAAAGATAACTAAAAATAATCGTAAGATTTAATACGAAGTTAATTATTAAAAAAGCTATGGAAGTTATGGACGTAAGCCTAGTTTAAGTCTATATTATATATAAGTCCTATATATTATTAAATAGTTTTTTTATATTTAGGACTAATATCGTAAAATCGGTCCTTTAAGGGTAGACCGATTTTTATCCTATCGGTCTATATTTAAAGACCGCTTATCGTCCGTCGGTCCTTTTTATTATTATATAACTTCTTTATAGTTCTTCCGATCCGTTAGGGTGATATATATATTCTATTATTCGATTATATATATAACAAAATAGCCGCCGTAGAGCAGCGGGGTAAGTCCCTAATCTATTATATATATTGGGTCGTAACAGTTTTTTTCCTTTATTAAAATAAAAAAAGCTATTTTAAAAATAAAAAAGAAATCGTTTTTAATAATATACGTAATTTATATTTATATTATTTTTTAAATTTTTTTATTATATAAAGTTTTTAATAAGTTAAAATAATTAATATTAAAAAATTAAAGCTCGTATAATAAATAAAGAGGTATATAAAAAGCGATAATATTATACTTTTTATAATAATTATTAAATTTAATTAATTTATAACTATTATAGTTATTAAAAATTAGGAGCTGTTTAATACTTTTTATATAAAACTTTATATATTTTTTAAAATACTTTAGTTAATTTAGGCCGATTTTATTTATAGTTTATCTATTTTTATTAAAATAAATATGCTATTTAAAAGGGAATTAACTATTAATATATTATAAAAGGAAATAATATTTACTTTTTATAATAATATATAAAAGTAGCGCTTAGCTATCTATATATATATCTTAAATAATAAAAACTTACTTTCGATTACTAAATTATTTTATATAAAGCTTTTTATAATAATTAAAAATTATAATAACCTTTATATATAAAAGTATTCTTATTAAAAAGCTTATTTTATTAAAATTATAAATATTATAATTATATGATCCGTATTTTATAATTATATTTCGTATAAAAATAAACTAAGCTTAGATAATTATAAGATCTTTAATTAATACCTTTTAATAATTAATTTTATATTAAAAACGCGTTTTTAATTATAAATAATATTATATAAAGTTCTTTATTTATCGTAATTTAATATACGTCGCGTCGCGTTTATTAAAAAAATAATCGGCTATATTTTATATATTATTAAATTATAATAGAAATCTTTAATTAATTAAATTAATAACTCGTTTAAGAATTATAATTTTTTTTAAAAAAATTATTTTTATTAAATTCGTACACGTTTTTTTTTATAATAATTAGTTAACGCGTCGATATTAAAATATTATTTTTAAAATATTATAAACAATAGCGGCTTTTTATATAAATAGTTTTAAATTTTTTTTAATAGTTTAAAATAAAAAGATAATATAGCTTTTTTTTAAAAAAGAAGCTATTATTATACGTAAAGGAAAGTTATTATAAAAGGAAGAGGTGTAGATAGTAATAGAAGTGGCCCGCTCGTTATAATGGCCCGCTCGCTATGCATATACGTTATATTAAAAATTAAACATATTAAAACTATTATTATAAATCTTATTAAAATTATTAAAAATAATAAAAAAAGACTATAAAATAAACCGGCGAACGTTTAATAAAAACTTATTATTAAAATTAATAATAAAGTTATATTATACTAGGCTACTAATATTTTAATTAAAAAGAAAAATAATAATAAGGTCGATAAAAATATTATAAAAACTCAATTCGCCGGATTTAATAAAAGATAATTCGTTATTAAATAAATTTTTATTATTCAATATAATTTAATTAAATAATTTTAAATTAAAAGTTTTATATTAATATTTAAGTACTAGCTTTGTAATAACGATATTATTATTAAAATCGGACTTTATTTAATATTTTATAAATTTTCAAAAAGTCTTAATGTAAATACTATAAAAAATAAAAATAAAAATAATAATCATTATAATATAAATTAAAATTAAATTATTAAAATAATCGATAATAATAATATAAAAAATATTTTAAATTTTAAATTATAATAATAAATAGATATTTTTATTCCTAAAGTTTTAAAAATAAAGTTTATAAATAATAAGCTAATTAATATTTTTATATAAAACAGAAGTATAATTATTATTTTAAAAATAAATTAGTTATATAAAAATAAGTTAATTATTAATTTTTTAAAAATTAATTATTATATTAACTTAAGTATTAGTTAATAATAAATATATATAAAAACCTTATTTAATAAATTTATAAATATTTAAATTTAAATTATTGAATATTTTTTAATAAATATTATTTTTTAAATTATAATTTACTTAAAGCGTATTTTATTTACGCTAAGAAAATGATTTTTAATATAAATATTTATTAAATTTTATATTAAATTTAAAACTTTAAAAGTATAAATAATATATTAATACGTTTAAAAAAGTAATTTCTTATTAATTTTAAAATTATAAAATTTTATAAATCGGTTTTAAATTACCTAAGCAGCGTTATAAAGCTTAATAAGGATTTAAATAAATTAATTAATAAATATATATATATAAAAAGCTAAAATAAACGTATTATAAAATAATCTTTTTTTAAACGGAATAAAAAATATATTTTTATATATTTTTTATAAATATATATAAACTTTTTAATATTATAATAAAATAATATTAAATAGTTAAAATTAAAAATATTATTATTAAAACTAAAAAGCTAATTTTAAAATCGTAATTTTCATTAATAATTTTAGTAATTTATAAAATAATATTTATAATAATAATAATAATAATAATGAAACGAATTAATTAAAATATAAAATTATATAAATAAATATTTAAAATTTCTTTTATAAAGTTTTAATAAAATTTAAAAATAAAAAACATAATAATAAAACGAATAAAAAATAAAATATTAAATTATAAAAATAAATAAATTATTATTATATAATAATAATTATACGCCGTTAACTTATTATTAAAAAAAATAATAATAATAAAATAATAATAATAAAATAATTATAATAATATTAAAAGAAAAAATATAAAAATTTATAACGTACTTTACTAATCAGCCGCATATATTACTTAGCCGCGTACTTTTTTTATCATACGCTTTATTCTTAACTATTTAAACTTTTAATATATAATAACTTAATAATTATAATACTAATTTATATTTAAAAAAATAAGATTATTTTTATTATTAAAACGATCTAAATTATACGCATTATAAGTTAAAAATTTAATATATAACGTATTATAAATATATATAATATCCTTAAAAATACTTTATATAATAAAATAAATAATTAATTATGCCGTAATTAAATTTAGTTTTAATAATATAAACTTAATTTAATTCAAAAAATACTTTTTTAATATATTATTAAATAAAATGTTAAAAGATTTCCTTTATAATTTATTAATATAAAAAATATAATCAAATTTTTTATTTTAAATATAAAATAAAACGCTTATTAAAAAATATTAAATTAAAAAGTTTATTAATTTATAACCGATTTTAAAAACTAAATTTAATCGTTTATATAATTATTAAAAGGCTTTTTAAAAAGATCTAAAGGTTATTTTAAAATAGTTTACGTTATTAAATAATATAATAATTAAATATAATATTAATAACGAAGATCTATATAACTTTAACGAGATTAACTTTATAATAAGCGTTATTACTGAGTTAATAATCGTTACGTATATTAATAAATATAAAAAAACAAAATTCGTTGAATTTAATAACCGTAAATAAGTTATAATTATTAAATATATTAATTTAAAAGGGTAATATATCCTACTTTTTATAATTATTTAAAAATTTTATCATTTTATTAATTAATTAATAAAATCCGGTTTTTTTAAATAATTAAATAATTAAACTAATTATTAATAAATAGACCGATAATAAAACTAATTTAAATTAAATTAAGTATTTTAATAAATATATTTAAACTTATATAAAAAGTATTTATTAAATATTTATAATTAATAAATATAAAAGCTATTTATCGGCCGAATTTAATAAATATTATAAATAAAATAATATTATAATTGTTAATATACTTTTATATTTATTTTATTTATTTTAGTTATTAAATATTACGTTTTATTTATTTTTAAAATACGTATATAAAACTAAAATTAATTAATTTATTTATTAAATCTTTTATTAATTATATTATAAAACTCGAATTTTTTATTATTCTTTATAAAATTTATAATAAAATCTTTTTAATAAAAATTTTAAATTTATTTTTTATAAAATTAAAATTTTATTATAAAACTTAAATTATATAATTAAAAAGCTTAATATATATATATAAATATTTATATTTTTTATGATTAACTTTTTAATATTATTAATTTAATAATTATAAATACTTTTTAATTATTATAAAACGCTTTTATAATTTAATTTTATTAAAATTTAAATTTTAGTTTATTAAAAAACCTTTTTAATATTAATAATTAAAACAGTTAATTAATTAATAAAAAGTATATAAATAATAACGTATTTAATTACGATTTTAATAAATTAAATACGTATATTTTAAGATATTAATAAAATATTTATTAAACGTTAAAAAATAAAAAAAATACGTATTTAATTTAAAAAAGTATTTAATATAAAAAAGTATTTAATATAAAAAAATCTTAAGTTATATTAAAAAAAAATAAAAAAAAACGTTTAATATTTAAAAAAAAAAAAAAGTTTATTAAAAAAAAGTCGGTCGGTTTAATAGCGTTATAATATATATAATAAAATAAGTTATAATATATAAATATATTTTAAAAATATAAAATTATTTAATAATTTAAATATTAATAAAAGTTAATTAATATTTTATATCGTAATTATATAAATTTATAAAATATTTAAAAAGTTAAAAAAAGTATATAGCTAATTAATATACGCGGCTAATTAGTAAAGTACGTTAATATATAATTAAAAATAATATTATTACAATTATTATAAATTAATAATATAAGAAAAATTATTATAATTATAATAAATAAATTAAAGCCGTTGTAATATTTTAATATTAATAAGTTATTAAAAGTTATAATATTATAAAGCTTTTAATAAAACCTAGCCGGCCGCTTGACGAAAATATATATTAATAATATTCCGTTTTAAAAATTAAAAATTAAAAAAGAAAGGTAATTATAAAAATACCGTTATTATATATTATACTAATTTAATTATTTTATATTTAAATAGCGATAGCTTAGCGAGTTTTTAATTTTATCAAATTAAATTAAATTTTAAAAAACTAATAATAGTTTTATAAATTTTTAAATTTAAGTTTGAAAATTATAATATATTTAATTTTATATATCTTTTAGTCTAAGTACTTAGCTATTGTCGGATTAGAAGCCTAATTCGACCTCGAGTCAGCGCCAGCGCAGGGGCTATCTAAGGGTCTCTATATCAGCGTTTAACCAGCGATCTAACTAACGGTTAGAACCTCTCTTTTCCACTTCACGTAGAGATTAATATAAGAGTAATTAACCCTTCGTTACTACGGTTCGATTAAACAAATCACTTTATAATTACGTAAACTAATATTAATTAATAGTTTAATTACTATTATAGATTAGTAAAGTTATTATAAAATAAAAAAGGCGACCTTTTAATACCGTATAGGATAAAGGAATCGCGTTATTTTAACTTTTTATAAAAACTAAAAAAAACGACTTTTTAACGTCGTATAAAATAAAGGATTTCCGATTTTCTAAATTTTTATTAAAAAAAAGGCGTTTATTACGTTAATAACGCTTTTAAACGGTCTATTAACGGAACCGCTTAAATTAACTACCGATTATTAAAAGAATCTTTTCTTTTTATACCTTTTTTAATTTTAAAAAACTTTTTTTTTTATTTTTTTTATTTACCTCTCGCAATAAATATACGAATCTATTTATTTTATATTTATATTAATTATAACTAGATCGCATAATATTTATCTTTATTTTATAGCTTATAAAATACGAATATAAAAAAAAAATATAAAAAATAAATTATATAATCTATTTAACTTTATAACCGTAAAGAATAAGCCCTTAATAAGAATATATTAAGACGCCGCGCCATCGAGAACTAAAAAGATCTTTTAAATAGATCGTATTTACGCTTTTTAAAAAAGGTAAGAGTAAAGGAGGTAGCCTTAACGAACCTAAGCTATACGACGATTTAATTAAAGGAGAGATCGAAGATATAAAGTAAACTTTACAAGATCTTACCTAAGTTAACCTCTTTTTTAACTCTTTTACTACCTTTTTAAATAAACGAACAAAATACGGCCTTAACAACGTTTTATAAATAAAAACAAGGCTATTATAAGATTTCTAAGCTTAACCGGCCTATTACGAGCACTTATTATACGAAAGTAATAAGTATCCTTATAATTTAATAACGGGCGCTAAAAAAAAAGGCTAAAGCTAAAATAATTTTAAAAAAAAGAAGATTAAAACCGGATTTAAAACGGTCTTTTTATACTTTTTAAAAAGAAATAGATTATTAAATAATAATAATTCGTTTAATAAACGTATATGCCTCCCGGGTGTTTATTTAAAAAGAAATGTATATATTTAAGACGTTATTAGATTAACCGTAATTTATTTTAATAAAATATAGCAAAACTGTTTAAATTAAATAAAAAGAGCTTATCATAGTTAAAAACGACGTTAAAAGCTTATTTATAAAATAAAAGATGAATATAAAAAATATTATAAGGCAAACTTAAGGCGTAGGAACCGATTTAACCCTTAATAACGAATTAAGTAACGATAAGAGGCTGCCGCCGTTACTTTTAAACGGTTTAAATTTTAGTATATTAAAAGCTAATATAACGATCGCTTTAAGTTTTAGTATAGGCTATAATACGACCTTAAGCGAGTTAAGCCGGGCGTAGGTAAGATGTTACGACCCAACACGTATTGCCAGACTAGGGCCCTGCCCTATAGGACCTACGGCGGCTACTATACTATATATATAATAATAAAAACCTAGACGGCCCTCCTTAAGATAAAAAAACTATAAATAAGTTATATAATTATAATTATATAATAAAATAAAAAACGAACGCCTATAAATAAATAAAACGAACGATTATAAAAATATAAAATAAACGACCGTTTAATAAATAATTAAATAATAATAAATAGGATATTATAAAGGATATATTTATAATTAGGATTTATATATAGGATAGCCTAAGTTAGGTTTAAAAATAGACTTTTATAGCTTTTTTAATAATTAATTTCATATTAAATTTTACGATTATTTTTAACTATTTTTATTAAAAACTTATTAATAAAACTATGATTAATTATTAAAGTTTTACTTATTTTACGATTTATAAACGATAGCTTCCCTAAAATTAATTTTATAACGATTATTATTTATAAATATTATAGCCCTAACTTTTATTAATATAAACCTTATTACGACTAACCGATTATAATATTTTAATTATTTTTATTTAATAAGTCGATTTTATAAAAAATTTATTAAATAGTACGAACGATATTTATCGAATCCTCTTTTAATAAGGGTAAAAAGCCTTAAGCTTTAGACGCCGAGCTAGCTTAAGCCGAAGGAGACGTAAAAATACCCGATATTAAATATAATTTTAATAAAGACGCGGTCTTTAATAAAATAATATATATTAAAATACGTTGCGTCGTTAATTAAAGTATTTGATATAATAAAGAATTAATAAACCTTTTTAATACTATTATTACTTAATTAATAGAAGCTTAAACTAAGAACGATTACGATATCGCCTATATATAAAGACTACTTAACGTTATATTTAAAAAACTCGATATTAAATATAAAAAGACTTTAAAACTTATTAAATAAATAAATACGTTTTAAAACGCCGCTAATATTATTACTACCCTTTTTACTAAAGGACAATAAAAGCTTAAACTTAACGTACTTATTACTTTTAATAATACTTTTAGAATTTTAAAAGGATTCTTAATTTAAATTAAAAACTTTTAAAACTTTTATTAAAAAGATTTTAATAACGAAATCGAAAAAGTTATATACGTTATTAATTTTTTTAAAAAACGAGCTTTTAAATAATTTAAACTTTTTTAAAAAGAATATTTTAAAAAAGAAACTTTTAATAAATATTTTATTAAAATATAAAATATTTATTATAATTTTAAAAAATTTAAAAAAGTTTTTAAATCGTTTTTTTAAAATTTAAATAAAAAATAATAAGCCGAGCGTAATATATTATAACTTTAATAAATTAAATTAATAAAAGACTATTTAACTAAGTTTAGGTAACTTAGTATTTAACTTAATTTCATTAATAATATTAAGGTTTTTATATTTTATTAAGAATTAAAAAACGAAATTAAAAACGAAATCGTCAAATTTAATAAGTTGAAAGATTTCTTTTAATATATTAAACTCATAATTAAAATCGATAATCGCTTTTATAAAAAAAAAAAAAGAAAAAATAATAATAAAAACTTAACTTAGGACGTAAATATTAATAATAATGTTAATATAATTTTAATTAAAAAAACCGTTATAATAAAAATAATAATTTTTAATAAACTATTACTTATGGATAATATAACGGACCTATAGATTTTAATATAGTAAATCGAGACTAATCCCGCTAAAAAAAAAAATTTAAATACTATAATTATAATAAATTAGGATATATAACTAAGGACTATAAATAACTTAAACGAATTTAATAATAACCTATTTTCGAAAAATAA